CAAAGATACTACTCTTAACATTCCCAGGCAGAAATCCTAAAAAGTGATCCATACAGAGATCATGTATGGACTGCCACATCTATGGCTTACTAAATCAGAAGAGCTGTTCTGTTTTCTTCCCACATTTATAGTCCTTCAATACCTTGGCAAAACATCTAAAATAAAAAATGGAGTCTGAAATGAAGTTTAAATTGTTTCATTTTTGAACTACTGTGAGGCATTCATCCTGGTCTATGATATAATTCAGCCTTCTAGTCAAGTTTTATGCCAGATCCAGCTGGACAGAAACTTTAAAAAGTTTTAGAACGCTTTTGGTAGTGTGTGTGTTTGTGTGTTTTAAAGAAATCAAGATGTTAAAAAGGATTATCTTTTAAAGTTATTGGTTTCTAAATGAGAATTATACTTGCATCATATATCAAAGTATTCCCTAAGGTGAAGACATCAAATAAAATTTGAGTCAAATTTGCAAGACACACAAAGCTCATTTTGTTTTAGTGAAAACTGGAGTTTAACAATTTCAAATAACTAAACTAAGTGTAAAAGGCTTTCAGAACAAGCATCCATGCCTCAAGCTATTCCTAAGCATGGATTCACAGTATAGGATTGATGGTTCTATCTTGGCACATTTTCCTTGGGGGACTCTAATATGGAAAATTACCCATTCATTTTCTATAGTCCACAATGGCAACCCTCAGTATGCATCCTAAGCTGAGAAAGCACCAAACCAAACATCATAGGAAAATAGCCAACTTAGGCCTAATGCAGGACCTGGCACACAGGAATTACTGAAAACATATTTGTGGACTACAGAGATCTCTACTAATATGCCAAGTACATCCAACTTTGGGGGAAAAAAGTAAAAAGAAGAAATATTTCAAATGGTAGAATGGACTTTCGTGTTCAAATAAATTTATTTCACTCCATAAACTGGCTCCACAAGTGATACTACCTCCAAACCTAGTAACATTTTTATGTTCCCCCAAAAGGAATGTGTAAGATAATCACAAAGGCCCAATTTTAAAGAAAATAAATGATTAAAAAGTATATTGGTCTTTGCTTATGCCCCCAATCACACTACTATAAAAGCATATATTATCACATATAATATGTAATTATCATATTCTTATATCATATTCATATCAATTCTTATCATATTCTTATATCATTATCATTTACTATAACAGAAAAGCTCAAAATACAGAAAAGAGAAATTAAAATATCATCCACAGTAATAATACTAAGCCACTGTTTTAGTGAATTTCCTTGTAGACATTCTTCTTTGCATAGTTTTTATTAGTTTTACATGGTTGTGATCATTCTGTATGAATATTTTTGTATTCTGCTTTTTCAGTAAACATTATGAAATGTGCTTGAGATTCTGCTCTCTAGTTAAAGAGAATATCAAACTCAAAACCAAACCGTATGTACAAGTTATAGGAATTCTGGCCTCCACTCAAGCTCCAAGTCCCCTTATTCATTTAACAGGTGTTTATTGTAGGTGCCTATTTTGTGCCACATGCAGTGCTGGGGACTGAAAATACAAAGAAAAGTAAGCCAGAATTTTTGTCCTCAAAGAGTTCTCAACTTAGTAATTACTCTCTGCCTTCCCAGAAGTATGAGCTTACCTATGTGAGTTTGAAGTTAATGAAATAAATGCTTGCAATTTATTTTTAACTTCACTCTTTTGAGGAAAATTACTAAATACATAAAGGTTTATCTAAGACAACAACTGAAGTTTTCTGCATTTAATTTGGTTGTATTCTTATCTTACAGGTGAAAGAGCTGCAATTCTTTTAATCATTTTATGACAGTATTTTTCAACATTTATTGCAATTAGTTCTCTTTATTGGCCTTGAGATCAGTTGTATTTTAAAAACCAATATAAGAGCTTTCATTTCCTCAAGCTGGGAATTTTCAGATTATTCATCATACCTCCCTCCATCCTACATATTTGCATGGTATATGTGTTTATGTGCTGGTAGATAATCATAGCCACCAACTGAGGTAGAGAAGATGTAAAGCAAACGCTTCAATAAGCACAGGTGCTTATACCCAAATATATCATGAGCCACATGCACCTGGAACTATTTGCATTCTATGCACAAACATTAGCAATTGTATCTGACTTTACTTCTCTGGAAAAATTTAAGCATTCCTAGTTGGTAATTTCATTTGATATTTTCCAGTTTAAGTCTAGTTGCCTAAATGGTGTCTCAAGGTATGAAATAAGAGATAAAACAAGGTACTGAGTCATAATTTCAAACCTTCTGAGATATACCTCAAGTGGTAATGAGTGGGAGCCATGGAGCACTGAGCAGTGAAGGAGCTGCACACAACAGCCAGAAAACCTGTTCTCTATTCGAGGCTCCACCACTTACGAGTGATATGAGTGTTAACAAGTTGTCATTAACATGAGCCTCGGTTTTCTTATCCATAAAACGGGGATGGTGATATTCTCACCATACTTACAACATTACTGTATTACTAATGAAAAGCAAATCTTTCTAAAAATGCAAAATGCTACGTGTTAGGACTTAGGTCTAAGGATCATTACTTTGTAACCAATTCCTACAAAGTTCGTATAATCAAGTTTTATTTTTTGAAAGGCTCCATTTCCTTACATTTACTTATAGGTTGCCACAAGGTTTTACGTAAGAGAGGTGTGTTTTTCAGATCAAAAGCACCTGTAGTTTATTGAAAGGGGCGCTGCTGTTACCAAGGAGCTGCTGGTAGAAGGCTCCAGAGACATGTTTAGGAAAGAGAAAAAGAGAACTAGGGCAGCAAAACAAACTGGATGGTAATTTGAGTTCCTCTTATTTTAAGATTGGGTTTAATGTTGGAGACATGCCTACTATTCCATGCCTCTCTACACTGAGAACTTAAAAGGCTGTTAGGATGTAGAGCCTTTAGAGAAGTCCAATAATTTTGATTTCAAAGTCTTTTTAGGGACTTAGGCATGAAGAGTCTCTAATGGTTTTAACCCTTGGAGACTGAAATGGTTTTGTTTGCCAATGTTTTTCCATTAATGAAGATTACCTAGCTACGTCCCTAATGACATTTGTTTATATCAGACCTCCCAGGAAGCAGCAATCTACACCTAATACTGAAAGTAACACTAGTACAGTAGTTACTGTCACCAAAGATTTAAAAGGCAGTAAAATACTTGGAAAATGTTAGGTTTTGCTACTATCCTACAGGAAACAAACATGCTTTATTAATTAACTGTGTGGGAAATTTTTTTCCCTTAACTGAAAGTCATATGTCATGGGGGGAATCTCTGTCTTCATGCACTTATTTTGACCAGTAAAAGCACTACCAAAGATTCTAGTGTCAGATTCACAAGGCACCACAGAATCTATATAGTACGGATCCTCCCAACTAAACCAAATAGCAGCTGCCTTCCTAGCCTGAATACCTATCATGAGTATATTAAAAACATGTTCTTTTTAACACCTTGTTTCTTTTTTCTTTTCATGTAACTATCTCTCCCATTAGCACATAACAGTCTTTCTCCTTCTCCCTCTTCCTCCCTCTTTACCACAGCACAATATTCCATTATGCAAATGTATACAAGTTTCTGCAAATATTCCCTAATTGCTGGAGGCTTTATTGTTTCCAATCGTCTGCTACTATGTACAATGCTTCAGTGAATAACTTTGTTTACTTTATTTCAATCTGTCCACAGAATAGATCTAAAAGTGACACTGCTTGGTCAAAGGGCAAAACACATCTGTAATATTGGTACATACCACCAGTATATGCAAAGGTAGGAAGTAGGAAACAGAAGGGATGTGTATGTGTATGTAACTGGAAATATTTCATATTGCTAGAGCATAAATTACAAGGGAAAGAAGCAACCAATAGGCTGCAAAAAGTAGGCAAACTTCAGATCACTGAGCATCTAGGTCATGTTAAGAAGCCTGAACTTTATTCTATAGACAAAGAAAGTTACTCAAGGGTTTTAAGGCTGGGCATCACACAGTCAGATTGTTGTTACAGAATTATGGACAATGGACTGAAAGGGCATATAACTGGAAAAAGCAGGGATAGTTAGGAAACTGGTACAGTAATCCAGATGAAGGACTGAACTAGGGCCGGGGTTAAGGAGAGAATGTACTGAGAAATCTTAAGAGGCAAAGTGAGCAGGATGTAGACAGTAAATATGGGGGTGAAGGTGAATAGAGGGATGATTTCAAGGTACAATCAAACCACTACCAGCAAAGCACCGGATTCAAGCTATTTCTCCAGCAGCAATAATATGTTTACACAGATTCAGTCATGCTCTTACCTGGTCTTAGCATTTGTGAGGCCAGGGATAGCAGTGTAGGGCCAAGCAAACAGACAGGCAGAACTGGTGAGCTTCTCCTTGAGCATCATGCTCTAATCAACTAAGTAAAGCAACCACGGGCGACCCCAACAGGCCAACATGACATTTCATAGCTCTATCTCTGATGCACCCTCTCATAATAACTCCTCTATTCCTAAGCCTCCTGACCCCATTTTCCTCTTTGCCCATGAAGTCAGTGACCAAGACAACTGCTGACAACATAAATAACTGCCAGCACAGGGAACAGTATGTGGTTGAGGGGCAGCTGCATGAATAGCTGCTTTTCCAAAACTTAACCCAAAGCCAAGCTTTACTATAAACCCAATATTACAATATTAGCAATGCATTTTTGGCAGCCTGCAGTCCTGCCACCAAACAAAGTTAATCGCTGGAGATGAGAAGATGTGGATGAGTCCCCTCTGAACCCTTCCCATTCCCCTCATTTATGCAAGTGTAATGGTCTTATGGGGATGGAGCAGGAGGGTGTTATGTGTAATCCATACTAAACCTGGCACTTGTCTTTATTCTCAGAGTTTCTAAAAACCAAACTGAAGGGAAACTGAAAAGTAAACTATCAGATGAAATCAAGTCCACTGTTTATCAAGTCCATGAATGAAATACACACACACACACACACACACACACACACACACAGAGTAACACCAAGGCTTACCTTTCTTTTATCTTCATCTGTTGATTCAAATTTGAAAGTAGCCCTATGCTGAAGAGGGAAAAAAGGGAAACACTGTCATTTTAAATACACAGATTTTTGATTTTGCTATGTTTAAAAATACCTAATGTCTATAAAAAAGTTGTCTTCCCATATCATGTCTCAAAGTTCTTATTAAAGTAAGAGAGGCATGCAAGCAAATAACTGTAAAGCAGTACAAAAGACTAAAGCAAAAATATATACAGAAGAGACATAGTACTGAGCCACTAACTACCGAGGGAAATCTGGAACTCTTTGCATACAGTACAGAACATTTGAGCTGGACCTTGAGGGGTGAATAGGAGTTGCCAGGCAAATGGAAAGCATTCTAGGGATGGAAACAAAGGCTCATCTGTGAAGTGGTATGATGTATTTGTAAAATAAGCAGCTCTGTCAGAGAGAAACACAGGACACGTTACGGGATGAGAGGAGTGGAGAAAGATGAGAATGGGAAAGTAGACTGGACAGAGATTTGGAAGGATCTTCCAATGTTGCTGAGGAGTTAGGACTTTCTTTATCATATGCAATAAGAAATCACTAGAGAATTGTAGATAGGGAAGAAATTGATAGACTGGCATTTCATAAAAGTAATTCTGTAAGAATGAGGGTTTAAATCATGGCTCCACCACTTATTAGTTAAGCAAGTAACAAATTATAACTGTATTTCCCATGTGAAAAGAGGGGAAAGTTCACAAAGCTAGTTCACAAAGCTGCCATGAGGGTTAAAACAGCTACGACATATAATGTACCATCTCAGTGCCTGGAAGATAGTAAACACTCAGTAACTATTAGGATGATAATAATGATGATGCCAATGATATTGAGGAAAAATAACTGAAAGAAAAGAATGTCATGACTCTCCTGAAATGACTGGCAACACTATATTTTCCACTCTGTAGCTGAAATAGAGAATGGAGTAAGTTGAGTTGTCCACTACCAGAGAGTGATGGTACCCAAAAAATAGAGCATAAAGTTCCTCAATCTCTTCTCAAGTTTTATTCAAGAGAACCAAGTGCTCTTATGGATCCTAAGTTTTCATTTAAAAAAATCTTTACTGAACATCTCTCTGCCTTTCCTTTGTATTTCTCATTGGCAACATGGCAACCCACCAGGAGTTAAACACAGTAAGTACTAAAGATATCATCATTACAGGTGGTTCTGCATTGACAGCTTTGCAGAAGAAGCAATTTTTGAAATTAAATGAGATGGAGAAATGTTGACAGAGAAGCAGTTCTGAAAGTAAGAAATGGTCAGAGGGAAGACTTAGAGGTAACAGAGAAGAGCCATTTGAGGAAACCTAAGAGAAGCTGCCTCACATACCGCTTGCAAAACAATTAAAATGGATGTCAGGTGGTAAGGCCTTGGATTTTAAAATTTGTACCTGAATTGGCATATAGGTGACAGGGAACCAGGGGAAGACTCTGAAGGAGGTGTGAACTCATTCTGGAAGAATATTTTGGGTGGTAGTTTACAGGCCAGATCACAGAGGAGCAAGACTGAGGACATAAAGCCCTCTGAGAAATGGGCATCAATAATCCAGGAGTGATATTGCTGGAGGCAGTATAAATTGACACCAACTTCAAAAATGAAAGTGAGGGTTTCCCTGGTGGCGCAGCGGTTGAGAGTCTGCCTGCCGATGCAGGGGACACGGGTTCGTGCCCCGGTCCGGGAAGATCCCACACGCCGCGGAGCGGCTGGGCCCGTGAGCCATGGCCGCGGAGCCTGTGCTCCGCAGCGGAAGAGGCCACAACAG